CACAGTCCAAACAATGACTTGTTTCCATAGGCCGACCGCACTAGAGGAAAGGAAGCAGAAGGAAAGAAAAGCCATTAGTGATATGAAAAGAAGATAACAAAAAGGTTCCCACATTTATTACAACTCAGGATGGACATAACATACCTCTCCAATGGTACAGGGGTGACCATTTGGACAATCTATAGTAGGAGTAAATTAAAGATCACTATACAAGTGTTTGGCATTGCTCAATACCATCTTAAACTGAAATATTTCATATGTAAGAGCATAGTTCTTTTGTTTATTACTTACGGTACCAAAGCAATGGTCCCATGACTTGTTGAGCCACTGCTAACATGTCCTGTGGCATGCTGGGCAAGAAGGCTGCCTGTACCAAGAGATGAATATGGAGGCATTCAAGTCACTTTAATAAAGAGGAGCCCCAGTCATCATCAGTGAAAGCAGGTGACATTATGCATACCTGCATGTTGGCAGGTGCCTTTGCCAGCTGCTGCAGGGGAGCCAAGATCCCCTGGGTCCCACAGAGTAGGACAGTAGCCAGGTGAACAGTTAAGTCCACCAGCACACAGTGGGCACCAGAAGCCCCGGCATGAAGAGCCAACGGCCCGAGTTGGTTGGTCACCAGAGCCTTAGCAAAGGTCTTCAACTCTGGGGTGTCAAGGAATTTGGATGTCTGAATAAAGGTCGCCAGGGCTTCCAACTGCTGTTGGTGCAAAGATACACAATTAATTCACTTCTTACAAATTCAGAGCATGTGAAAATAATAGGTGAATTAGTTCATACTACAGTGTTTGATGTGAAATGTTTGTGGTCATTTCACACACAAGTTCTAATGGGTGTAAACAAATCTGACAGATTATGTAAGAGCATCTTATTGGGTCTTGATGTCAAGATCTACCTCAGGCTTTGGATGGAAGTTAGCACTGGCCTCTCTGTAGAGAGTGGTGACTTCTCTGCACAGCGCTAGCAGAAGGTAAACTGTTTTGCACTGTGGTAAGCATTTGCAGCCCTATGAAGACAAAGCAAAAGAGCCAGAAGACACCCAGGTAAACACATGAAGTGTTTACAAAAGTAAAGTCATGAACTGATGGTGAGTTACCAACAAGAATATTATTTAACATTACCTCACAAATCTCATCCACTCTGTCCATTTTGCCTTCTATAACCCCCTGTGCCACAGCATTTCTGATGTTCTTGTAGTCGTCCCCACACACAAGATACTGATCTACTGGGGTGACTTCTGCACTCTGGGTAAAATGAAAAGTGAACCACAATATTTACTGTCATTATTACTGGCATTACATTTAGAAAGTTACTTTGCCTTAATATGGGCACTAATGGTGAACAATCACACTGTGGATAAATGAACCTTTTGCAGAGTTTCTTCAGGGAAGAGCCAGCGCACTTGATCCGTTTTGAGGAGTTTCAGGACAAACTCCACTCCATGTTGGCTGCAGATCTTACGGATCAAGTAGACACGATACCAGTCATTTCCACTGCGCCTGCACAAGTTCTCCACGTTGCTCAGGAAAGCTGTGGTTCTACTTAAACCACGTTCCTTGGACTCTGGTTTTCAAATTAAAAAGAGAAAAAAGAATGACATTTTGGTAAAATCAACATATTTTGAAAGATAAAATACAAAAGGTGCTGACACATGGTTTATTGTATGTTAGAAACTAATACTACTTTTTATTCCCGTTACTGACCATTGGCTCTCAGTTTTTCCATGATGAGACTAGCAGCCATATCCAGGTCCATCCGCACTCTGGCCACCTGCTGCAGGTACTCTACAGTGGCTGTTTCAGCAGAATGACCATGTGATTGCAGGTAGTCAGTCAGGAAGGTACTTTCAACTTGCAGAAATACCTGCTGGTCTGCAGAGGACCTGAACTGCAATCTCTCAAACATGGAGTCCTAGAGACATAAATAGGTAAAAAGTGAAGTCACCCAATGAAAACAAGCCGTATCACAAAATAACACACTGCAATCAACATTTAAACTTTGAATTCATGTGTACCTCAAGACAGTTAATGTACAAGCAGTACAGTTCAGTTTTGTCTTGCTCCTCCAAGATGTTGCTCTGCTCAACCGCGGCCAGATGCTGCTGCAGGTAATCTTTAACCTTGTCAAAGCTTTAAAAGCAGGGAAATTTGTACAAAAATGAGAAACACTGCTAAAAACCTAGAGCATAAATAAGCATACATTGCGAAATGGCTGCATCT